TGGACTTCATCCTCAGTACCACATAAAGATAAATAAACAAAGTAAAGGCATTGTGTGCATCTAGAATTAAAAGGAGGAGGAGGAGGAGGAGGAGGAGGAGGAGGAGAAGGATCATCCATTAGCAAGAAGAGTGAAGACAGAGTTCAAACTGCACAAATCAGTGTGGCTCATGGCAGCTGGCAATGAAAGCAGGATGCTGAATCAGAATTCTCAAGAAGTGTGTAGTCACTAGGGTTAGAGAATCCACTTGGGGCCTTTTGGAAAGCCTGTACTTTCTGGTGAGTGATAACTTCTGTGGCCTAGGACAGTGTTTCACATCATTGCCATTTTTTTTTTTTTCCTGGATCTTATTATTAGTTTTCCCTTTTTAGTTTCTGCCCTCCTTGTGATTTTCTTTTTCCTGGACCTTTGAGCAGAAGGGAGTGGAAATYAATCCTGGTCTCTCCCTTCCTCTTTCTCTACATACTAATCATTTGGGGATTTTTTTTTTTCCTTTCTAGTAACTACATTATAAAGCTACAAGAGCTCTTAACACCTTCTACTTGTGGCTTTTAATAAAATGTAAGTGAAACTCAACTTTATCATTCCTTTTTGCTGGCTTACCTTTTTGTCTTTTGAGTATCCATAGCTCCCTGATTTCCACACCCTTCATAAAGAAGGCTTAGTCTTCTTTTCCATATTTTTCTCTAAAAATTTCAGGATAGACATTTTTTGGGGCCTCTTTTTTTTTTTTTAATGGTGTGGAATTTTTGTTTTTTGGTGTTTTTTTTTTTTTTTTTTTTTTAGAGCTTCCATTGTTTATTTATTTGGTACCAAGGATTGAACCCAGTAGCGCTTAACCACTGAGCCACATCCCCAGCCCATTTTATTTTTTATTTTGAGATAGGGTCTCATTAAGTTGCTTAGCCTTTCACTAAATTGCTGAAGCTGGCCTCAAATTTGCAATCCTCTCGCCTCAGCCTCCCAAGTCACTGGGATTACAAGCATGTGCCACCACACCTAGCTAAGATCTTCCATTTTAAAAATGAAATATGGTTTTGAATAATACAAGAATGTTTACCATGGAGTCTATTCCACATGTGTAATAATTCCCAACCTTTGATGTTTTTTAACTCTAAGATAGTATTTCTCCCATTTTCTACCCATTTTACAGGTGTAAGCTCCTTCTTGTCTGCCCTACCCTCTGCCATCTCCACCAATTTACCCACCAATTTTGACTTCTGACTGGCCACCAGATAATAGTGTCAAAACACAAAACTGCAATAACTTAACTGATCTTATATTTATGTCTTTTATTTATGATTCTAGAATTGGGCAGGCTTCTGAATCATAACATGTTCAAAGAACTTTGGCCAGGGACATGATTAGATAGTACTTACAAATAGTAATTACAGACAGAAAACAGAAGTCAGGTATAGCACTTAATTGGTTGTAGCTTTTACCTTAATCAGTTGTCTGCCTAGGATTGACTAAAGCTTTGCTGCTATAACTAATTGACAGTCAGCCATTTGTTATATGAGTATACTCCTAAGTCAATTAGTTTCATTTAGCATGAATGACTCCATATTGGTTTGGTCTGTGGGGCCCAATAGAGGAACCAATTCAGATCAATGGTCTCTTATAAACTTTATTTAATAACAGTAACTGTCCATTCAACTGATAAGATCTTAGCCTCAATATAGGAACATTATGGAAATTAGTCTGACGTGCAAAGGTTCAAATGCTATGTTTGAATTAGGTTCTTCTGGTCCAAATGCTATGTTTCTTTCTTTCTTTCTTTTTTAATAAAAATAACCCATTCTACATACAAAATATCGAACAGTTTCTGTTCTTCTTAAGTGAGGGGATGAACATGATCAGTAGGAGTTTATTCATCAGGAATGTGCTCATTCTGATAATTTTCTATCATTTATCTAATTTACTTTTCCAGTCATTTTATCTGGTTTGTTATTTTTAAGCTGCTGCTAGACACTAGAGTTGTAATATAAAAACATTATCCTTTAAGCACTACCTTTCTAATTATATTCCTGAAACTTTTATTCATGACTTGCTTGACTGGGCTGGATCTCTGTTACTCCATTACAAAATAAGGGTCCTAAGTGATCTCATAATTTTAAAGCATCTAAAATCAAAGGATGCAGAAGATTTGACTTCTTGTTTTAATCCCGTCATTAAATGGCTTCATGCCTTCAAGCACAGTGTTCAGTATCTGGATCWCAGTCTCCTCCTCTACAAAATAAATGGAAGATGCTAGAACAAGCTTGGAAGATTGTCCAAGGAATGTTAATAGATCCTTTTAGAAAAAAAGAAAAAAAAAAGAGTCTGTGTTCAAGCAAATGCTGAAGTCTAGGTCTAGGAAATGCTGAAGTCAATAGGTTTCTTTTTTTTTTTTTAATCTTTATTTATTTATTTGTTTGTTTATTTATTTATTTATTTATATGTGGTGCTGAGAATCGAACCCAGTGCGTCACACATGCTAGGCAAGCAATCTACAACCACAACCCAAGCCTCATTTAGGTTTTTTTTTTTTTTTTTTTTTACTTCAGGATTTCTCAGAAACTTTCCCATGCCAATTCTGCTTCATGACTCACCAAGTGAGACGTAGTACCCGTGTTTCCCAAACTTATTTGATGGTGGGATCCTTTCCCCAGAAGCATCTTTATAATACTAATAATAATTTAAGGATACATTTGGGGAATGTTTTAAAATATGCTCATAGGCCCTTTAATTTCAGCAATACTCTCTATCCTTGGATCAATTTCATGTTGTAGTTATCTTCTAGTTTATGTTCTAATCTTGTGTTGTTCACATAGTGCTATTTCCTTTTTCTCTTTGAGTTAATGCTTTCAATGCTTGGGTACATGGGCTATGCTCATGTATATGACTTGCAACCCAGGTACATGACTTGCAAAACCCAGGTACATGACTTGCAAAAGCACACATGTCATTACTGCTTTGTACAATTGTAACCAGAACGAGCACATTTTGCAGAGAAACATCCATGGAGCAGCCCAGAGGGAGCTCTTTAGGGGAAAGAGATTAGATAAATGAACTTGAGAAGCAATAGCATTAACAGGGCAGATTTCCAAGAAAAATGGGGGAAAAAAAATCCTCATATATTTGACATTTTGATGACTAAATAACACAGTCTTTGTTGTCACAGGACTGCTGTTCCTAACCAAGGCCGTTTAGGACTCAGGGTAACAGAGCTGAGTGGCTCCTTGCAAAAGTCTGTGTTTAACATCTGTCATGCTGAAGATCATTAATGTTCAATTGCATCCTATTGTCTTCATGTTATTCAACTTCATTTCATTGTCATCGTTTCAGCTGGGGATTAATCAACTATTTATGGGAAGATGGGACTTGGAGTCAGGGCAGTCACAATGGGGTTAAGTCTGAGGCAATGACGGGGGAAGCAAGTCACAGTTAAAAGACTTGATTTGTGAGAGCTTGTTGATAATTAAATTAATCCAAAATATCCAAAAATAATGCTGACATATCCATAATGCAAAAGGAAAAATAACTTATCTGGTCTTTCTGAAATATCTAGAATTGATTCTGGATTAGACCTATTTGGAGTCTCTTGAGTCCTCTTAAGAACAAGAAACAAGCTGATATGAGAGAATCAAAATAATAATTTTCCTGTATAAATCATATAATCATTATCAGTAGTGAAAATCAGGGCTTTGTTATTGTTCCTGAGGACTGGTAACATAACTGAACCATTTAAGTTGTATGAAATATTTCAGCCTTATGAGATCAGCAAAAATCTTTCAATAGGAATTATTTTTTAAACCTCACAGATTACTTAGATTTTTGAATTTTGCACTCCTAAGTGCATTATTAGCTTTTTAGGTTTAAATGTCAAATCATTAATAAGTTGTCATCTCCATGTATACCCCACAACCATTTATGAATGGGGAAATGAAGTATAGATAATGAATTAATTTGCTTAGATAACTGAACTCATGCAATGCAATTACATAATTAGAATAATATAAAGCTTTAAATATACACGTTAATATCTTTTGATATAATCAGTGATTTTGCAGAAAACAGCACAGTAAAATTCCAGGTCTACGATATTAGGACTTGCTGATTTGTTCCAATTTATTTAGCAGATAAAACAAAAATGTCAACATATTAGATCACCATTATGCAAAATTGTCACACTTCTCAACAAAGCTAGCCTATACTTGATTTCTGATACATCTATCTCATAATTCCAAGATTAACATCTCCACATAATTTCTAGTAATTTAAAATCTTACTAAGTTTTTGATATGTAAGCTGCTTGCTGATATGGGAAAAGATGGACCAAGCTCTTCCCCCACCCCCCACCTCGTTATTCTTTTGGGGACAGCCAGGCCACTCCAGATGGTGTGTTAGTTAGTGTTGGACATAGCTTTGGAGAAACTTCAACAGACAAGGCAGTAATGTCAGGATTTTGCTGTGCGTCGTCCCCCTCCCCCCTGCAGTTCCCAGGGTAGGAAGGTGCTGAGATGGAAGCCAAGGGACGCCCGCCCACCTGCCACCACCTGTTCCCTCCTTTAGCCGTCGACTATAAATTCTCCTCCCTCAAAGATTCATCCCGCGCTCTCCGACAGCTACTGCTTGCGGTAAAAGCGCTCCTTCCTTAGATCTCTTCCTTCGGAAGAGATTTCATCTTTCTGGAAGCCAGCCTTGGCTTTTCTCAGAGGACTGCAAAGGCCTTCCCCGAACCAGCCACACTAAACTCTGCTGCAAGGTTTCCTTCTGTTTTTCAACTTCACGTTGGGAAAAAATGACTTTTTCTTGAGCCTCTCGATTCCCCCTACAATTGGGTAAGTGATCAGACAGCCTCAGGTCAATCAGCAGAACCGAAGGCCGAGCCCCGCACTCCCCACTGTAGACTGCTTGCACGTGAGTTATTTTGTTTGTGACTTATTTGCTAAGAGCGACGTTAGGGAGCAGCTGAGTAGGCAACTCCACGCACAGGTCCAGAGCCCGCGGCTGAGCTCCACCCCTCCCACCTCGCGGCCGGGGATGAAGTCCTGCAAACCCTGCGGCCCGTCAGCGGGAGCACGCGCCGCGCCCCCGTGCGCGGGCGGTGCCGAGTGCGCGGGCACGTRTGCCGGAGCCGGACGGCTGGAGAGCGCGGCGCGCAGGCGCCTGGCGGCCAACGCGCGCGAGCGCCGTCGCATGCAGGGTCTCAACACAGCCTTCGACCGTCTGCGCAGGGTGGTGCCCCAGTGGGGCCAGGATAAAAAACTGTCCAAGTACGAGACCCTACAGATGGCGCTGAGCTACATAATGGCACTGACCCGCATCCTGGCCGAGGCCGAGCGATTGGGCTCGGAGCGGGACTGGGTCAATCTCCACTGTGAGCACTTCAGCCACGATCACTACCTGCCGTTCGCAGGCGCAAAGCTGCCGGGCGAGAGCGAGCCGTACGGCCCGAGGCTCTTCGGCTTCCAGCCGGAGCCCTTCCAGATGGCCAGTTAGGGCGCGCGGCTCCGCGGGGGTGAAATGCCCAGGGATCCCGCTCTCGCTGCAGACTCCCCTCACACAGCTGCAGTGTCTTTCGGTGGCCAAGGATTCTTCCTATCAAATTAATAAGCTTCCAGGTTACTTTCAATCGTATCATCCCACCTACGGACGCAATCATTTTGTTGCATCTCCCTTTTCTGTATTTTGTAGATTTCATTAATGAATCTTGTGAATTACATTGCTCTGATAATAATGCCCTATCCCCTTTCCTGGACTACTGTGAGGGGAAAACAAGCTTAACAGAAAATAGGATTAGGCTCTACTGCAATTTCAGTCCTCAGAGAAATAATCACCTTAAACTTTGTAAGTTTGTCGGGTTCGGGTGAAGTTACACGATGCATTGCTTGTGTAGGCTCAATACAGCTGCCCTCCCGTCGTGTAAATGCATTTATGCCCAGTGTATCGTGTGTGCATGCGTCAAATAGAATCAGACTTTCGCCTTTTTTGGTAGAGTTCTTGGGCATGGTTGCTCTGTATTTTTTAAACCTGTGTACACATTATTAAATATAGATTTTGTAAAATATAAATAATGGGGTTTGTTTTTCATGCCAAGTACTCTGCTAGTTTCCTAATATGTTGAATGTTTCCCTGAATAAAGATGCTTAATGTTTAAATCTAAATCCCACAAATCAGCAAATGTGCTGTTTCCTAATACTTCGTCAAAATAGTCAAACTGATGAAAGTATAAGTAATTAATTTGAAAGTTTTCTTGTTATCTTGGAAAAACATTTTTGGTGGCATTTAAAAAAATTTAAATCAAAATAATATTTAGCTTTTAAATAACAAGACATGTAGTTCCTCGATCTTATTTTTCTTACTAAGTTAATTACTAAATTCTTTCCAAATACTCAAATATGTTTATTCCTACATGTATGTAAGAATATATAATATGTAGTACATGTACACATATAAATGTAAATACATAAGAATATGTATCTGTATATATGTATATATATTTCTACAATGAACATTGGGAAAAAAGTTGCTTGTAACCAGGTGCAGTGGCACAGACCTGTAATTCTAGCAATTCGGTAGGCTGAGGCAGGAGGATCCTAAATTTGAGGACAGTCTGACCAACTTAGGGAGACCCTGTCCCAAAATAAAAAATAAGCAGGGATAGGGATATAGCTCAGTGATAGAGTGCCCTGGGTTCAATCCCCAGTATCCTCCCCCACCAGCTAAAGAAAAGTTGCTTGTGGAAGTGATTCCTGAGTTACATCCCTAATCCTTCTTATTTTTTAAAAAATTTTGAGWCAGAGTCTCACTAAGTTCCTGAGCCTGGCCTTAAGGTTGCAATCCTTCTGCCTCAGATGAATTATGGGGTGCACCACCATATCTGTGATTTTCTTTTAATCAGTGAAAGTTTGAGTGATATAGCCTTCACTACCATTATGGGTAATCAAAATGGGAGCAAAAAAAATTAGGAAAATGAAAATCAAAAAACACTGAGATTTAATCTCACTCTAGTCAGAATGACAGTCATCAAGAATACAAACAATGTCCAGCCAAGCATAGTGGCCCAAGCCTGTAATCCCAGTGACTCAGAAGGGTGAGGCAGAAGGATTGCAAATTTGAGTCTAGTCTTAGAAGTTTAGTGAGAACTTGTCTCAAAATTAAAAAAAAATTAATAATTTTAAAAAGAATGGGGGGTGTGACTCAGTGATTAAGCACCCCTAAGTTCAATTCCTAGTACCACCACCAACAACAAATATGAACAATAATAAATTCTGGGGAGGATGTGGAGAAAAAGGAACACTTTTACACCGTTGGTGGGACTGTAAATTAGTACAACTATTATGGAAATCAGTATGAAGATTCCTCAAAAGACTAGGAATGGAACCACCATAAGACCCAGCTATATCACTCCTCAGTATTTATCCTAAAGAACTGGTCATCATACTATAGTGATACATGCATACCATGTATGGAACCAGCCTAAGTATCCATAAATGAAGGAATGAATAAAACTCCATACACAGCCATAAAGAAAGATGTAATTAGGTCATTTGCAGGAAAGTGGATGGAACTTGAAACATTATGTTAAATGAAATAAGCCAAATTCAGGTCAAGGGATGTGTGTGTTTTCTTTCATAGTGAAGCTGGAGAGGAAAAAGGAAAAGAAAGGTGGGATGTTGGGGATCTCATGGAAATGGAAGGAAGATCAGTAAAATAAAGGAAAGGAACCAGGAGGTGGGAGAAAGGAAGAGAAAGGGGAAATACTGGCAAATGATATTGGCCGAATTATATTGTTATATTGAGTATATGTATRAATATGTAACAATACATCTCATTATTATGTACAACTATAATGCACCAATAAAAATGTGGGGGAAAGGAACAAAATAATGCACATAGTATTGTTTGAATTACTTTTATAAATTTGCTTAACCATTCATTCATTCATAAAGCAACTCTTCATGTAAAGAGTGACTTGTTGGTTAACTCATCACATGCATTTGGGTAAATGTCTTGCTCATAATTAGGAAAAGCAGATCTCTAAGTTACCTGTGCATTTGGAATTTGTCACAAGTCAACAAAAACAATGATATCTTCCAAATCCTTCTATTATAGATTCCAAAACCCAAACTTACAGTCTCCTATTTGCAATCTTCTACAGAATGTTTTCATCAAAATTATTTTCTTAGTTATACCTAGTTATCAAACCCTATTTTGTAGGGCTACGGATGTAGTTTGGTAGTAGCTTACCTAGGATGTGAGGTTCTGGATTCAATTCCTGATATGCAATAAAACAAAACAAAACAAACAAACAAACAAACAAAAAAAAAACCCCTATTTTGGTTTGTAATGTGGGAAAGAGACTTTATCTTACAAAATCACATGTGTTTCCCCAGGCATCCACAGGAAGACTGATGGTGAATTTCTTTTTCCATCTGAAATCAGTTAATAGGAACATTCAGGAATTCTTTTACTGCAGATTAAAGAGTAAAATATTTCACCTTCTTTTATCTGGAAGATGCTGTGTAGTACAGCAGAAAAACAACACAGCTCTAGAAGTGACTACCCCAAGATATCTTTCTACTCTGCAGCAAGACTCAAGGCAATGCCTAAGTCACTACCTGGGCACAACAGTCTACTTGCTTAGACCTAAAAAGCTTCATTGATAACCTTAAGTTTGTGAAGTTTTAGAATTAATAAAATTAGTGCTAAAAATGTATGTTCCTCAGAGAAATTCTCATAAGTATTTTAAAATCTTTAGTCATTTTTTCAGGTAGGGTTCACATCTTCCTCTCTGGACCTTTCCTTTTTATATTTCCTCCTTAAGTGTAGCATCATCTATTCACAGGGAAATGATTGGTTGCAGTTTTATGTTCACGATTACCAAATATGTTCTTAAATCCCAAATTTTACAACTTGGTTCATATCCAGATGTCTTCTTTACTTCTCTAGTTGAATGGTTAGTAGGCATTTCGAATTAACATGGCCCAAATTCAGACCTCAACAAAACTAGTTCTGGTCCACTATTTCCCATCTCAAAAAATGGTACCTCCATTCATTCAGCTATTCTTTTACTCTCATGCCTTATGAAAGGGAACCATACTTTTCATTATGTCTCTATGGCTTCTAGTATAGGACCTTGTACAGAATAATTATTAAATAAATTTTTATTTTTTTGGCTATAAGTTTAAAAACACTTTCTTTTTAAATATTTATTTTTAGTTGTAGTTGAACACAATACCTTTATTTCACTTATTTATTTTTATGTGGTGCTGAGGATCGAACCCAGGGTCTCACAAGTGCTAGGTGAGCACTCTACCACTGAGCCACAACCCCAGCCCTTAAAAACACTTTCTTAATGAAATAATAAATTTAATTAAAATGATGAGATTCTAATCCCATAGTCTCTTTCCATAGCCTCACTTTCTCAGAAAATAGAAATTTGTCTCTTAAATATTGTAACTTTAGCTGTCTGCTTCTATGTTTTAGAAATTTCTAGAAGCAATTTAGGTCTTACCAAACTCCTAAACTTTCCACCCAATTGTACTGTTTGTTTTGCTGCAAGACACTGAAGGAAAAGTAAGATGATCAGAGTCAATGTTTGATAAAATTCCTTAAGCTGTATTTTGGGAGATTCATTTATGGTTCATGAATAAGGAGCTCAGATAAAGCATATAAAATCTTTTCAGAGTCCAGATTTATGTATTATTATACATCATAGAGTTTAGATTATCTAGCAATCTAAAAGTTGCCTCAGTTATTTTTATACAGTTCACATTTGAAAATTCATTTTATTTCTAGTTTGACAACAGAATGTATTGAAATTCAAAAATATTTTTGTACCTGGGCTCCCTTTTCTCACCAACAAATATTATCAAGTACTTATTCCTTCACATCTTATTCAATACTTTCCTTGCCTTTGGCGAGGCAGCCAAAAAGAACACACAAGCTCTAATCTCTAAACCATTCTGACCAGAACATAAGTGAATCCTTCAATAGTTTAGTATTAGTAATATGTGCTAGAAGACATCCTAAGAGCAGGTATTAAATAATAAAGGAAGACCTGCCCCAGGTAGGGCTTCAGTTTGACCAGCTATTATATAGGAGCTCTCCTTGCATGCCATCTGAAGGTTGAGGTACCAAATCCTAAGGTCAGAATTCTTGAGGGACCATATAAAAGCCAAAGGGACTACCAAGATGGGAACAGCCAGTTAACTTAGTGGCTTTCAATCCCAATTGCTCACTAAAAACACCTCAGGAGTCCTGGATACAGTATCCAAGCCTAGGGCCCCACTCCAAGAATTGACTTAACTTCTCCAGTGTGAGGCCTAAGCACAGATCTTTAAATGCTCCCCTGGTGATTCTAATGGGCTGCCAAGATTGGAAAAATCACTTAATTAAACTAGATCTATGATTACACTATTAATTTCATTGTTCGAAACTGGTTGTGTTGACTTTCTATTCTTTGTAGATCTTGAGAGGAAATAGGCTATCTTTCT